GGGCTGCTGGAAAAACGCTGGAACGATTGCGAGCTCCCTCTCTTTCTCTTAGCGTTTGTGCTTCACCCTGGCAATAGAGAGTTGCTGAAGGAGCTTCATGGGTCAGTAGCAAATAGGATGTGGGATTTTGCTTTGGCGTACTATAGGAAGCCGTTCGATCGGGATGCGCGGTCAATTGTCGGTGAAATGTCCGAGTGGATGCGAGGAGCGTACACACCATTTTCCTTAGCAAATTTTGAGAATTTTGCAACGCCACCCCTGGCAGCGTTTTGGCAGGAAGCGAAGTCGTCAAAAGAGAGAGCTCATCTGGAGCCTGAGCTTCCCGAACTAGCGCTGGTTGTGTTGGCTATGGCTGTAAATACAGCTACCTGCGAGCGATACTTCTCAGTGTTGGCGCTCATTCACTCTGCTCGGCGAAACAAGATGAACTCCGAAAAAGCAAGAACAATTGCAGCTGTTCGGGGCCAAGTACGAGACCGCGACCGACGTGAGGGGGGCAAAGACCAAGCCAACAAATCTAAAGCACCTTAACGCCGTATAGCGGATCCCAACGAGCTCAAAAAGGTGATGGAGTTGTTTTCTCCACCTCGGAAACGCCGTGGCGATGAACAACTCGGCTTAGCTATCCAAAGAACCCCTGGTCATCATCCTTCTGTTCGTCGTGATCTGTCTTCGCTGTTCGCAGATGCCCAGAGCCAGAGTAACCATGCGGCAGACGATTTAGAAGCTGGAAGTGAGGATGAAGAAGTCAGCGAGAATGATGATGACCAAGATCCATTTGAGCATTGGGATGAGGTTTTTCAAGAGCTTGTTGAGGACGATCGCGACCAATTTCAAGAGCCGCAGCCCCGCAACGACGCATTCACTGTGCTGGGTCCGCCAAACAATCCGCCATTTCCATCTTACAACGATGAAAACTTCCCCCAAGAGCGAACACTGACTAGGATCCGATCGACGAAGGTTATGCTTAGTGAGCTATTTGGTGTTGCTACTACCTAGTGGCTCTATGGTAGCGAGATCGCATTCGTGTATCATTCAGATGTATAGCGCATTATTCTTAGCTACTGTATGTAGTACTGATCATTTCTTGTAAGTAATTCACCTTTATTTCAACGTAGCAGAGTAGGCACTAAAATACTAACGTGACGCGCTTTCAATCCTGGGCTTTGGAATTATAGATAAGATAGGGTGTGTCATTAGCTGGCGGGGCCACTTCTAAACGCATCATCGCGGCTCGGTATACTTTGACCGCCTATCGAAGCATTCGCTTCCAGCAGGATGCGGTTACTGGCTTGACCTGATGCGATCTCCTCCTGGAAGTAATGGATTCCGTGCCGCATATAGCGCTCGAGCTCACGATTGAGTCATCGTAACCTCCATCTTCATCATCGTCCTGCAGGTCTTTGATCGAATCAAACAGTTTATCAGCGTGGATATCATACAGTGTGCCGTTGCCATCATCATGCTGTTCGTAGAAGAGAGAGAGGTGCTCCGTGACACTCAACCTGAGATTCCGGATCATGACAGCACCACACTCTCGAAGTCACAGATGCCTCGCAGTGCCCAACGGATTGATCATTGAAGTCGACGCGCCTCCACCGCCACAGACACTAACGACCCCATGTTCGTACAGCTTGCAGAGCTGGAGCTGGATGTGCTGATAGGTGG